TTAGGGAGCCGAGGCCCTTTCTTTCTTGGCAGCCCTTCCGGTGCACTGGATCGGAGATCGACTCTGGGGCTCTCCAAGCCTTAGTAGCCCAGGTTACCCATAGCGTCCATGGACTTCTAGGGTTAGGGTTTAGGGTTTTGGGTTTAAGGTATAGTCTAGACAGATAGTATATAATCTAATGTAGTCGTGGGTCCCTTCGGGCTAAAGTATGTATGTATTTATATATATATATATATGTAAACCGTATGGGTACATGGGTTACGGCTTTGAGTTACGGGTTTAGGGTGTGGGTTTAGGGCTTGCGGTTAGCGCAGGGCTTTGGGGTTGAGTTGAGTTGGTGAATTCTAAACCCCAAACCCTAAATTCTAAACCCTAAACCCCTTTTTGAAGGTTAACGCTTCCGCCTCGGTCGACATCGAAACTCCTGTTCGGCCAGGTATTAGTCCACTAGGCAAGTGTACGTGAGGATGCCTTATGGAATCGGGCTACCCTATAAGCTCAAAGCCCTAAACCCCTAAACCCCTCTGAGGTCCTATATGGCCCCAAAGCCTAAGCCCTAAACCCTAAAGCCCTAAACCCCTGAGAGGTCCTATAAGAGGTCAGGTTCTGAGGACCTATGAGGCTTTTGGTTTGGCTCAACAGCCCTAGTGTTGAAGGATTCGGGGGGGTTTAGGGTTTGGGGTCAGGGTCCTCTAGCCGGAAAGACATTGGTTTAGGGTTTAGGGTTTAGGGTTTAGGGTTTAGGGTTTAGGGGTATATAGAAACCATGGTAAGGAATTCTAAACAGGTAGGTCTTTTCGGCTACAGGTGCGACCAGGAAGCAGGTCAAAGTATCCAACATGTATGTACTCGGTGGGAAACGAAAGAATGCTAGGGCTCTTCGTGTGAACTTTCAAGTACCTTGTATTCGTCACGTCCTCTAAACCCTAGATCGCCTTTCTTGGGTAGTTTTGTAGGGCCAGTAAACCCTTACAGAAGGCCAGTAACCTAAGCCCTAAACCCTAGACCCTAAACCCTAAACCCTAAACCTCAGGGGAAAACAGCTCAAGGATCTCCGAAGAATTGACGGAAGAGCGTCTGAAAGACTTGGCGCACCCATGGCTGAAAGAGGAGGCAGCACCTTAACTTACTTTCAGCACTTGGGTTTGTAGACCTTAACTTGAGCTTATAAACCTCAAGAGAAGAATGAAAACGTCTTGTTCTAGGGTTTAGGGCTTAGGGTTTGTCGTTGGTGGCTTCTAAATGTTGCAGGTAAAGCGGGATGTTCTCGCAACATCAGGTAGTGGTTCAGCCAACGCCTCTCGCCGATCTCTCCGAAGATGTGGATTCCTGTCCGCCTGTAACAGGATAATTTTCTAAATTAGGGTCCCTTCGTGGGTTCCCACAATTGTGCAGCACCCGAAAATAAGGACCCTAAAAGGTACTTTAATTTACAGAAGCATCCAAGAACCTTCTTCCTTTCATTTCAGGTGTTGTGAAAGTGCCTGAGAAAGCCTTCGGACTTTTTGCCTAACCTCTACGCCCTCAACCCTAACCCCTTATTCTGCAAAGCCTTTAGCCCTAAACCCTCAAACCCTGACCCGGAGGTCTCACATATGATACTTCCTTGAACTACCAAGACCAGCATTTTGTAGGGTCCCAGTAAATTCCATATTAGGGTTAATAGTAAGAGCCGACAAAAAAGTATGGTAGCTTAAGGTAAGGCTTTTGGGCACAAAGACTATCCTAGATGAGGCTCTTGAGCGGTTTTGGGCCTCAGGGTAAACCCTCAACCCTAAACCCTAAACCCTCAACACCCTGAAACCCTGAAGCCGTCAACCCTGAATTCCGGGACAAGCCCCAAGCGCAGAGCTGCCGGACTTAATGAAGGGGACTTAATAATTAAAATAGGGTTTTGTGGTTCCTTATTATACTTATAGTATCATATACCCCNNCTAATTATTAAGGCCCGTACATTAGGCGCTATCTCGAGGTCCTGCGAGACCGCACCCTGCCAATAAGCAATGCAACAGTCTCTTATTAAAATATCTTATGGTATGTTGGAATAAGCTACACGTATTTTTGGTCTTTAGTATGTTCTTATGGTATGCTTGAATCAGATATACCATGTTTTCTTTTGAAAAAATTATAAGGATGTTATAGTTATGGTTGTAGCCGCAAGTCAGTGCTTCGAACCAACAGACTATGTGAATGCTTAAACATTTCGGATAAGTTCGGTCAGGTTCCAGGGTATGAGAGCTTAGGAGTACGCAGGCTGTAACTGCTCCAGGGACTTGTAAGGTCTAAGACGAGAAACGAAAGCTGCAAACTGCAAGTGTTGTTGTGCATCGCTTTGCCGCCGGCGACAAAAGTAGTTATCATGCGACACTAGACGACCAAAGGCCTGCGTCCGAAAAACCACACCGAAGATGACCCGAACCCTGCACGCGAAACCAAGCCCTGAAGCCCTCAATCCACCCAG